CCCTGGGAAGGGATCAGCTCCCTCCCATGCCCCTGGGAAGGGATCAGCTCCCTCCCATCCCCACTGTGGTCCCCAACAAGCCCCTGGCACCACCCACTGCAGTGCCACCCCAGGCAGAGCTGCTGGGTCTGCAAGGGGGCACAGGATGGGCAGGGACCCTGGAACAGCTCCAGCGGCCAAGGGGATGAGACACCCCCCTGACAGCCCTGTGGAACAACCACAGCTCATCCCCAGGTCCGGGAAGGCTCCCAGGATGAGATGCCCACCAGGTGCCTTGCCCAGCCAGAGGTGCCCCAGCCCTCACCTCCACCTTGATGGCACAGCGGCCGATGGCTCTCACCGCCTTCCGCACAAAATCCACATCCACCTCCGTGGCATATTCCTTCAGCTCTGCCAGCACCTGAGGGGGGGACAGCACAGTGAGGGCCTGGCAGCAAGGACAAGCCACCAGGAACGTGGGGCAGTGACCTGGCTGGAGCAACTGGGTGGGGCAGTGACCCAGCTGGAGCAGATTGGGTGGCACAGTGACCCAGCTGGAGCAGAATGGGTGGCACAGTGAGCCAGCTGGAGCAGATTGGGTGGCACAGTGACCTGGCTGGAGCAGAATGGGTGGCACAGTGACCCAGCTGGAGCAGAATGGGTGGCACAGTGAGCCAGCTGGAGCAGACTGGGTGGCACCGTGACCCAGCTGGAGCAGATTGGGTGGCACAGTGACCCAGCTGGAGCAGACTGGCAGGCACAGCCCATCCCGACTACATCCTGCAAAGCTGGGGCTGGGACTTGGATCCCCCCTGGTGCCCTCCCCCAGCCCCTGACCTGAGCTATGTTGGCCTGGGAGGCCAAGCGGATCATGATGTCCAGTTTCTCCAGTTTGACGTAGATGGGGTCGTTGTACTTCACAAAGAACACCTTCATCTCGTGCTTCAGGATCTCAGGCCTGGCGGTGGCAGGAGGCAGAGGTTAGGGGGACACACACACACACTCACCTCCACCACAATTCCAAGGTTTTGGAGGTCTGTTCCATGCCAAGGAATCCCAAACACCATGATTATCCCCCCAGGGTTCCGTCCCATGGACATAAGCTGGGGAAACACGGAGAAGGAGCAGCTCCAGGCCAGGAGGATGAGGCTCCTTGGCCACAAGCACAAGGTTCTGGGGGCCCATTCCAACCAAGGAATCCAAGACAGCACAATTATCCCCTCAGGATCCTTGGCTCCCCTTTGCAGGGGACAGAGCACAACCTTGCTGCAAACACAGGCCAGACGTGAGGCAACGGGGGGGGGTTGTCCTGCCAAGGCTGGAAGGGACATTTTGAAGGAGCAGGGACACAAATCCAGACCCCAGGGCTAGGCTGGACCTTTCTCACCAGCTCATCCTCTAAGCTGGGAAGGAGCTAGGCCAAGTCCAGCTCCAAGGAGCCAACCTGCCTTCCACACTCCCGCTCCCAGGGACACTAATTGCTTTCCTCTTTTCCCAGAAATTAGCACTATTTTTAACAGACGACCACGGCGCTGACTGGGAGGAGGACAAATCATCTGACTGGGCTGTGGGCAGAGCAGGGCTCTCCAGCTGGACACTTCTGCTCCAGGCACACGTGTGGGGCCTTGGACACCTCCTGCCCACCAGAATTTTAGATCAGCAAAGGGACAAAAGGACTCTCAGCACTTACTCAAGAAGGACAAAATCCGACAGCACAAAAATCCCACCCTAGACACCAAACCAAAGTCTCTCAGCTGTTGGCTTTGCCATCCTTTGCTCCCCCCAGATAAAGAATAAATTAAACTGAGATAAACTCCCTGCTCATTCCCTCATCTAACTGACTCAAGGTCATATTGGACAGGGCTTGGAGCAACCTGGGCTAGTGGAAGGTGTCCCTGCCCATGGCAGGGGGTGGGATGAGATGAGTCCTTTCCAACCCAAACCATTCCATGATTTTACAACTCTCTGCACTCAGCCCTTGGATTTTAAACAACAGACAAGGAAAAACCCACGAGATGGGTCGTGACACTGCTGCAACCAGAGGGATGGAGGCACTGGGAAGCAGCACCCGTGGGAAAGAGGGACAGCTGGGCACGCACCTCTTCTGCACGATGAGGTTGATGTTGCGGAGAGCCACGTACTGCAGCTCGGGCTCTGCGGACAGCAGGGTCACCAGGGGCGGGGCCAGCTTCTTCAGGAGCGTCCCATAGTAATCCAGGTCCTTGGAAAGCATCTCCATGAACTTCATCAGCACCTTCACGGCCGAGAGCACCACGGCGGAGTTGGCGTGGGACAGGCGCGGCGTCACCCGCTCGCAGATGCTGCCGGGCGAGGAGAGGGGACAGGGGGTGATCCCAGCCCTCCTTCCTGCTGAAAAGCTGCTGCCAGCATGGATGAAGGACAAGGCATTCGCAGGAAGGCTGAGCAGTGCTTGGGACCTTCCCAAGAGACGCCGAACAGGCTCCTGGACGCCCTGATGAAGGTTATTCCCCAGCCCTGCAGAACCCGCTCGCAGTGACCCCGTTTTGGGGCTCCCCAGGGCCTCCTGTCCCCTGCAGCCACATCTTCAGCTGATAAAGAAGCACAGTCCTGGTGCCAGCACGGGGACAAGACCAGGGCAGGCTCCAGATGGCCGTGCCCAAGGCACAGGGGCCAGCAGATGCCCGCTGTCCCACCTCCTGCAGCATTCCAAGGGGCAGGAGGATGCTCAGAGGAGAAGGGGCAGTGCCAGGCGCTTTGATCGACACCTGCCCATCAATCCCCTCCCTCTCCAACCCTGCTCCTCGGCACCACGGCAGCACCCGGAGCCCCCCTCACCTCTGGGCTTCCCGGTCATCCTTGGGCATGTAGTTGGCCAGGCAGTCCAGGATGAAGATCTGGCCCCACTCGGTGCACTCGTTGAGGGCCGTGAGCAGCTTGTTGATGGACTGGGGGTTGAGGTCCAGGAGGTTGCTGCTGGGGTGGGACTCGGCGATTTCCGACAGAGCCGCCACCGCGTTGGCCACCACCTGCCAGGGGGCACGGGACAAGGGTTAGGGGACAGGACACGGGTGAGGGGACACCAGGGTGGCTCCGGGGGGAAAGGTGGGGCAGGGGGATGAGCTGCTTCCTCAGCATCATCCCACTGACATCTGGGCACCAGCTCCGACTCCCATCAGCAGCTCCACAGGGGATGAGCCATCCCCACCCCGCTCCCACCGCCCACACCACATCTCCAACAGCTCCCACGTGTTCCACAGCAATCAGCCTTGGCCCTGTGCCCAGCTCCCCTTCCCCAGGCAGCTCCAAGGAGCCCCATCCCTCCCTGCACAGCTCCAGGCCTGGCTGCCACGCCCACAGCAGGAGGAAAGGCTGGGGGGAGAGAAACTCTGGGGAAAGCTGGGTTTAAAGTTCCTCATAAAGCCTGGGGAAAGGGAGGGAAGCCAAAGCCCAGCTGCCAGGAAAACCTCACGAGAGGCAAAAGCCACTGGCTATGTGGGATCAGAGGCAAAAGCCACTGGCTATGTGGGATCAGAGCCAAGCCTCAGCTCTGAGCTGTCCAGAGCAGCCTCCTCCTCCCCACTGGGAACAGGGTAATAACACACAGCCAAGGAATGGGAGAAACCCTCCATCCAGGAGATGGGCTTACAGGGCAGGGAAAAGCCCGCAGCCCTGAGAAGCAAGAAGTCCCCAACAGCAGCCTGTCAACACCAAAACAGAGAGTCTGGAAGGGAGTCTGGGATGCGAAGATGAATTAGAGCGTTGGGATGAAGAGAGGGCAGAGAAGGCAAAAGAAGGGTCACCATGGGGTTGGAGTCGGAGATGAGATCCTTCAGGGTGTCCAGGAAGCCCTGGTCCTCCACCAGCTGGGCGTTGATGTCGTGCAGCTTGGCCACGCAGACGGCGGCCGTCTTGCGCACGTAGGGGTCCTCGTCCTTGAGGCACTTCCGCAGGGGCTCACAGAGGTACTCCGTGATTTTATCCACGCGGATGCAGCCCATGGTCCGCACGGCCAGAGCCCGGATCAGCGGGTTTGGGTCCTCGCAGTCCTGCAGGGAGCAGAGGGGAGGTTTGGTGTCACAGCCGGTGGCGGTGCCTTCGGGACCTCCGGGTTGGTTTGGGGTTCCTCAGGTGCTGAGGGTTTAACACTCGACAGCAAGTCCCCCAAGAGAAGCTGGACCTCTTGTTCTGCACCCACGGAATTCTAACGCCACCAGTCCTCGCTCCCAGCACCCCCAGGAATCTGAACTCCTCATCACTTCACCAAACACCACAAACCAGCTGCCACCTGACCTGGGATACTCATCTACTGCATTTATCTTGTGGGGTTTTTCCTGCCTAAAAAACCCAAACTCCCTCTAATGCCCACCAAGCCTTTTCACAGAGTGGTTTGGCAACACCTTGGCTCCCAACAAACTCTTCAGCTCCCAGCTCCAAGTGGGAGATCACGAGGGCTCTCCCAGCACACGGGCTCACATGACAGCAGCTCCACCACGGGAGCTGCCCACAGCCCCGACAGAGCGAATGGCACGGGGTGGCTGCCAAAAAAACAGCTTTCTGCATTACTGAGCAAATTTAATCAGTTACCAAGAACCAGGAGAGCTCCTCCTCCTGACGGGAGAGGCTCTGGAAAGCTGCCCACGCTCCCTTTGCAGCTCAGTGCAGTGACCCGGCACCGGGTCAGGTTGCCCCTGGTGACTCTTGGACTCACACCCTCTGCCCTCACCTTCACAAAGGTGTTCACTGCCATGATGGCCATGTCTGGCTGGCTCTTGGCATAGTTCATCAGGTAGAGGTAGACCAGCTTCTTCAGCTCCAGGTTGTCTGTCTGCATGCAGTTCACCACGTCCGGGAAGAGAGCGCTGGAACACAGAGCTCCCGGTGAGGGCAGGACACGGACACACTCCTGGGGGACCCCCCTTCCCACGGCCCACCCCCTCCTGGAGCCAGGAGAACCTGCTCTGGAGCCAGGCTGGGAGAGCTGGGGGCTTCACCTGGAGAAGAGAAGGCTCCAGGGAGAGCTGAGAGCCCCTTGCAGGGCCTAAAGGGGCTCCAGGAGAGCTGGAGAGGGACTGGGGACAAGGGATGGAGGGACAGGACAAGGGGAATGGCTTCCCACTGCCAGAGGGCAGGGAGAGATGGGAGACTGGGAAGGAATCCTTCCCTGGGAGGGTGGGGAGGCTCTGGCACAGGTTGCCCAGAGAAGCTGTGGCTGCCCCTGGATCCCTGGAAGTGTCCAAGGCCAGGATGGAGCAACCTGGGCTGGTGGAAGGTGTCCCTGCCCATGGCAGGGGGTGGAACGAGACAAGTTTTAAGGTCTTTTCCCACCCAACCCATTCCAGGATTCTATGATTCCATGACCTGAGCCCACCCTGAAGCAGATGTGGCTGAACTGCCCATTCCCAGTGGATTTGATTGCATGGATCTGTATCAAGACCAGCCCAAAGCAGCCCCTGAGGGACCAAAACTGAACTCTGGACATGGCTCTGCTGTATCCCAGCCCCAGCACAAGGTGCTGGACAAGGCTCTCAGGTACATGGTGTGATTTTGGGGTGTCCTGTGCAGGACCAGGAGCTGGACTCCATGATCCTTGTGGGTCCCTTCCAACTCAGGATATTCCATGATTCCATGCACCCTCACAGGATGGAGCCAAAGGGAAGAGCCCCACTCCCTGGGGTGATTCCTGAGCACCAGGATGCTCTGCTGAGATGGGGTGGAGCTGCCTGCACGGAGCTGGGGCTTCCCCTTCCCAAACCCCTGGAGCTGTGGGATGCCAGAGATGCTGTTTCATCCAAAGACAGACCAATTAAAGCCACAGACAGACCAATTAGACTATCAAAGCACCCCAGAGAGGCAATTAGGATCACAGGGGTAACACAGGGGTTATCCCACCCTGACAGATGTCCCTCGGCTCCTGGAAGCTTCTCTGTCACTGCAAACCCAGCCATCCCTGACAGGATCAAACCCAGGGCACCCCTAAATCCAGGGAAGTGCCTGCTGAGCTGCCACCCACCGTGGCTGCTCTCACCCCGGGCTAAACCAGGCTTTCCTGGCTAAACCAGGCTTTCCTGGCTAAACCAGGCTTTCCTGGCACCTCCTGGGGAGCAGTGAACTGAGGAACCTGCCCTCCTGCAGCCTAAAATATGCACACAGCAAAAAAAATGGGCTGACACGGCCACAGAATCCTGGAATGGGTTGGGTGGGAAGGGACCTTAAAGCTC